GCCACTTGTGATCAGGGAGCTGGGGAAGGGAACTTAACCCAATCGCTCAGTTCCCCTCCCCAGTGCTACCACTGAGCTGAGGAAAGAAACTCAACCTAGCTGGGCTGAGTTCCCTTCCCCTGTGCTGCAACTGGCTTCCTGCAGCCCGGCCGTGGGAGGCAGGGAGACCCAGAGCTGCACTCCTGGCTGAGCCACATGGGCCTGTGGAGCTGCTGGGAGCACAGCCCTGGTTCTCCCACATCTCCACCACCTGGCTGCTTTGAAAAAAAAAAAAAAAAAAAACACAACCTCTGAACATCTGAACTAACCTCGAAACAAAACAAGGCTGTTTCAAAGCCCTTCATTTTGATTTCGCTGTTTCAAGCGCTGAATGAAGTCAAAATAGTGTCGAATCATAACAGTGGCAAATCGAAACAGCTAGCTAAATTTTGCCCAGCCCTACTAGTTACCAACTAACAGAGTTTCAACATAAGATCCAAACCAGGTTAGTTTAGATTAAGAAATAGTATGAAAACATTTATTGAACAGCTACATTCCCAAGTAAGTCTACTTACTACAGAGACAGGGAGATTGTGACACACACACACACACACACACAGTTTAGACAACTATTTCTGTACAAAGCCCTCTTATTTTGGAATAGCATGTATACAAGGGGTGTCTATACTGGGAGACGAGCCTGCTAGCCTATTTAAAACTTCAAACAAGACAATTATATAAAGATTCCTGGTGCTGGAAGAGATGCTTAGTGACAGAAACTGGGTAATAAAAGTTCTCCAAGTCAAATGTCATCTTCCCCCAGTTCAGTAGATAAGGGGTATTATTGGCTCATTAAAAAGGTAAAGTGACATCACTATAATCAAGTGAAGTCCAATATAATGTTTTACTACATGCAGTATTTAATACAGATCTTCAGAAGATTTTGGGTTCTTTTGGTACATCTCTTCAGACCAGCATTGTCAGCACCTTAAAGCCTCTCCCATTTTACCTGGTTGCAAACTGATCTTCCCCTGGCAAGAAACGTGAAAAAAAAAAATCTGGATCCACCAATTTACCCAGAAGAATACTCAAGTTCCTTACCTTTGGATCCACCTTCGCCATCACTCTCAATCACTAGGGTTTGTTCATAACTCTTCACTCTGATAACGCCAGGCTTTTCTGGGCACTGAGGAACACACACACTTTTGGCCAGTACAATCCAAATCTTCCGCCCATTGACATCCATTTCTCGCCGTTCACGAATATACACATACTGTATTTGCAGTTGAAGACAAATGCCAAGAATCATCCGTTTCAAGATAAATGTTTATTGTGGGAGCACTCAGGAACTCCAGTCACACTAGGTCTGTTGTAATAAGTCTGAGATATTACTGTTCTATTGGGGTGTGCCATCCTAACAACTAGCACAATTCTTCACTCCTGCATAGTATCAGTGAAGTTGTTACATGGGAGCAAAATTATGCACTCATTTAGCATTGTAACCACAGGATCTGACTCTTGATATTAGAGTTAGGACTTCTCTCCAATTTAGCTTCTGATTACTTTATGCCAACAGCAAGAGATGAACAGAGTAAGAGAACCACACCAAACTTTTCAGGAGTCCAACTACACAGAAAAAAATGTTTTTGTTATCTGGGTGGCAAAAACAAGGGGGAGGGAGGCTTACAGTTCATAGTTTCTAGGGTCAGAAGGGACCTGAGCAGATC